GTCGAATGAAAATCAAAAATAGGTAGTGAAATTACATTCAGAATTAAAAATGACAAAAAAAAAAACACAAACATAAAATAGTTTAGCAGCTTATTTCTTAAATGTTCTAGAAAACAAAATTAGCAAAATGTTAATACTTATCGAGATAATGTGTTTACCTAAATGGGTCACCTGGTACATGTATACGGCCGCTGCCATAGCGGATCTGTGACGTCAAATTATTTTTATTACGTTTTTACCTAGTCATTTTTAATTATTAGGAAAACAACACGGCATATCAAAAAACGACTTTTTTATTAATTGACTAGATTTAAAACACAACAAAAAAGTGTTTTTGCGTGTTTTGATTATAGCTATATTTATTGCAAAAAACATAAACTGTAAAAATTTGTTTTGACTCCGAGTGGCAAAAATTAAAGGTCGGAAAAGACATTCGAGTGGGTCGAAAATTTATTTTGTGTACCAGGAGTGCATGTGGAAAAACGTCGACGTGCCACTGTGGTAAAGTTACAACTATTCCCGCCAATTAACCGAATTTGCTATATTCTGATAACCATATCGTATTGTTGGTCTATGTTATCTGTAACAAATCTGTAAATAAGCATGACAAAAAATAATATAAATACAAAATTATACACCTGATTTTTTTTAAATGTTCTATAAAACAAATTTCGAATAAAGTTAATGTTTTCCGTGATAATGAGATGAGAGTACCTACTTAAATTGATCATCCGGTACAATACACGGCAATATTTATCCGTTTTTGGTTTAACGTAAATCACCTATAGGTAATGAACATGTTTTTTTGAAAATTATTTCACTAAATTTTGTTTGTATTCGGCTATAGGTTCGACGGATAGATACGACGGTTTGCAATATTGCGTGTGACGTCACAGATTCGTACGCCTTGACGGCGGCCGTGTACCAGATGATCTGTTAAGGTGGACACACACATTATCTCGAAAAGTATTAACGTTATGGCAATTTTTTTATTAAAATTTATTGGTTTAAAAATATGGTTTTTTTTTTTACTCATATTTTTAGAGAATATTACTAGCATAGTATTATGTTCTAATTTTTAAAAAATTTTTATTTCGTGTTCATATCATACATAAACCGCCCCGTGCCACCGCCGGCACACATCGCGGGCGACAGCATACCGAACGGTTGCAACGACGTCATACCACATGCTCCCCTGGTACCCAAAATCATTTTTGGGCTCGTTTGTCCTTTCCGACTCTTCACTGTTTTTAGTGCTCCTTGCTGCCCGTAGTCAAAACTGATATTTAGGATTTATATTTTCTACAAAACCGCCGACCTTTTTGTAATTAAGTATTTATATTTAATGTTTTCTAAGCAACAATATGCTGTTGCTAACAAATGAACGATTCTGAGTAGATATCAATTGATAGTGTTGCTTTACCTGCAATATATATGTCATGTTATGGTATCAACTACATACGCATTATACATTTTATTTAATAATTGTACTTATATTGTACTTATTTTTCAACGTTTTTCTGATTTTTCTCATTTATTTGGAAAACTCCTAGAAAAATCATTTCCCCAAAGTAATTCCCCAGTCGAATTTCCTTTCAAGGTCTAGTCAGAGTCAGGTAAGTCAGAGGAATTTTATGTCTAGCAACTTTTCTGAAAGGAAATCGACGTGGAGAAAATGTTATATTTTATTACATACATTTTCTCATGAGTTTTCTCATCAAATGCGAAAAACCAAAAAAAAAAAAAATGTACGAAAAATATGTGTATAATATTAGGATTTTTTTTTTTTGTGGAATACTTTTCTACTAACAATTTCGCTTCAACTTATAATAATAGCAATGTTTTCAAAAGTAAATTTCACCGGAAAGGTACTTTAGACAGATCGTTTTTTGATTTCTCCGGAATTTTCTCAGCAAATATGAAAAACTAGGAAAAAACATAGGAAAATCGAGAAAACGTAGGAAAACCGGGGAAATCGATACAACATTAAACAAATTATATTAAAGAAAATATATAGAGCCTACTTAAATAATTTACTATAATATGACATTTATATTGTTTAAAAAGTACCATTATCATTTGAACTCCACTCAGAATCGTTTTTTCGTAACTAATGGTTTATCGTTGCTTACAGGTATGTTATGTACATTAAATTACCTATAACAGTGGCTACACCCTTCCTCTTTATCTTAGGATATATTTTTATTTTTATTTTTTATGTATTACAATACGTTATTCTAATGTCAATTGTAGTAATATTTGGAAGTATGTTGACAAATATGACAAATTGGTTTAAATAAAATGTTATAATTATATTCTTTATCACCTAGTTTGTTTCATTATTATTATTTAGTGCATATAATGTACAAAAACGGAATAATTAATAAATAATAACTACCACTGTTTACAAATGATAGTAGGTAGTGATATAGAGTGCCATCGGGGGCTATTATACATAAATTGTAATAAATCGTAAAACTGCATTTTGGACAGCTAATCTACACTTTGTGCCGTGAACTTTCGACCAATTTGCCATTGATTTGAACAACAGTGTTGTCTATCAGTCTGGAATAGTGGCCAATAAAACCGCACGTTCTATGTGTCGTATATTGAGTACTCACGTTTAATTATCGGGTAATTTGCATGAGTGTACACATTGTGACGACATTTATCGAAAGCCACACACGCGTATCCATCACGTATTCCACGTATCACATATTCCATCACGCGTACACCTGAATAACAATTTATCCAAACCTCCGTGATTTTAGTTTACCTTAAGTCCAATAACAATAATATGTATGTACGTTGCAAGATATAAATGTAATTACTGTTGCATTGTTAAAATATTAAAATGAATGTATAGAAATGTTACTTTAGAATAATTAATGTCTAAAGGTCTACACCAGCGAACACCAATTAATATTTTTGAATGTCCACATTAGGAGTCTGGAAATTTTTCTTGAAATTCAAAGTACATATTTTTAAAATATTATAGGAACTAAGTATTATTATATAATTGAAAGTAATGAGAGCATAATTTTTTTTGTTTTGTATTTTTATTATTTGCTATTGTTTATTAACATTAAAAACATAATTAATGTTACAAGTATTTGAAACAATGTAAAATAATAATTATACCTAAATATATTAAAAATAGAAAATTGTTTAGTGGGACAAATTATAAATCTTAAAAAATAAAAAAATCACGGTTCTAAAATACCATAATATATATCATATTATATTTTCATTTTTTTCCTACTTGTCTGCGGACCAGACAAATTTTTTGAAACACTCTAAACTCTATTATGATAAAATTTTTAAATTATATTAACACTTTGTTAATTAAAACTATTTAACTATATATACCAGCAGGCGGGTAATCAGGATTTTTTTTGAGGGGGTGGTCTAAAAATAAAATTTTACACGAACTATCAATAATCTGATTTTTTGGCGAGAAGCTTAAATTTCGAGAGGAGGGGGGGTTAGTTATCCAGTTGATTTTAGAGCTATTTATAGTCATTTGATATTTGCGAATTTGTCTACTTTATTTTTTAATTTCTAACTATGCTGTGGGTCAAATGGTTTGGTTAAACACAAATGCTTAACATTTGAATTCGAGGTTTAACTTATACGGTAAAAAAATAAAGTAATAGTTTGTGTTTTCATAAAAACATCAAATTTTAACGAAAATCGTAAATCTTTAAAACATTTACAAAGGAATGTCTCTCAGAATCGTATTTTGTGAACAATTGTTTATCGCTGCATACAGATATAAATTAAATAACTTTACAGTATGTATCCTACCTTTCCAACATTTCAACTGTATAACAGTGGCCGAGCCGTTCCCGTGTATCGTTTTATTTTTATATTATTTTTTTTTTCGAGATCAAACAGAAGTAAAAGCCATATAATATAATAAGTACCGCATAGTGCCGTATAAAATATTATGCGCAGATCCGTTTTACAGTCCGCAATATTTTCGTTCTTTGATCGCCGTTATCGTAAAACGGCGATAAAAAATATTTTACAACTTTATTTCCTTACGTGTTTGACGACGACGATATAGGTAGGTACATATAATATATCCATATAAAACGTAAAATATAATAATAATATGCCCTCGGATGAAACGTTCGTTTCGAAACGGATCCGGCGAAATGGTTTTTTGATAACTATTTCCGATAGGTATGCAAATACGCGCGCGCAATATTCTCCGCGGTCCTGCGTTTTATTCGATAAGGAAAGCAATACGACCGTATCGCTTCGGAAAATAATTACATCGTTTTCTGCGCTCCGGGGCTGCCGTGTAAATATATACACAATAGAACAGCGGTTGCATACCATTGTAACAACGTCATACCCGTAAAACGTTGTTTCTGTATAATTTTCACACTTGTAGTAGGGAAATGGGGGTTCAGCACCCTCATCATCATCAGCATTTGTCCACCACTTCATCGACCTATATTTCGACTGTATGTTAAAACTGACAAAAGTCGAAATCGAATTATTACACGATTACGACCAAATGTTGATGTTCCAAGTCGATTTTAGAGGTGGTTTTGACACAGGCAGCTAACAGCATAACAATACCCGATTACGATGAAAATCACCCGAAATTGGTGGATCGTATACTTGGACGCGAACAATTTATAATAATTTGATGGAATTATTTATTTAAAAAAAAAATATTAACTTTTTCTAGATACGGATGGGCCGTGTCTAAACTTTTACCTAATGATGGGTTTCGTTGGTATACTGGAGTTATGAGCGTAACCCATATAAACACTATGTTAAATAACATGGTTGATGAATCGGACGTTGGTATGGTTTTGAAAGTTGAAGTATCTTATTCAGAAAAGTAACACGATCAACATAATGATCTTCCATATCTACCGGAAAAAATGGTTCCATCCGGGAGTAAACTATCTAAACTCACGGCGAATTTACAGTATAAAAAAAAATTACGTAGTACATTATACTATGCTCTAAAACATTCCATGGAAGCAGGATTACAGTTGGATAAAGTTTATAAAATAATTAAATTTAACCAATCGCCGTGGCTTCGAAGTTATATTAGTCTTAACATTGAAAAAGGGAAGCACGCTGTAACCGATTTTCATAAAGATTTTTATAAATTAATGAACAGTAGCGTCTTCGGTGAGTAAAATAAATTAAATTAAATAAACTTAATACATTTACTTAACTTTATAGGTAAAACGATGGAAAACGTGAGTTTACGGATGAAAATGAAACTCGTTCGCTGTCCTAAAAGATATGGAAAATTGATTAATAAATCAAATTTCAAATCGTGTACGATTTATAACGAAAATCTTGTAGCGATCCATCTACACAAAGACATAGTGGAATTCAACAAATCGATTTTTGTAGGGTTTTCAGTTTTGAATATTTCCAAAAATTTAATGTATAATTTCCACTACAAAACAATGAAAAAAATGTAATTACATGATAACATAGAATTCTGCTATATGGATACTGGTAAATAAATACGGAGGAAATTATTTAATATTATTTATTTAAAATAATAATAATAATTTTTTTTTTTCAGATTCTCTAATATACTCAATTCAAACCCGTGATTTTTATGATAACGTCAAAAACAAGCTTGGTTTTCTAGATACGAACACTGATTAGGACCGGTTACTGATTTGAAAGAAAATGAAAAGCTCGAGGCGATAAAGGTATAAGCCCGTTGGACTCGGCGTGTAGAGAACATGATTTGGCTTACGATCGCAGTAATTCAGTAACGGACCGTAATAAAGCAAATATATTGGAAAATCGAGCTTGGGAAAGGTTTCAAACAAAAGACGCAAACTTTAAAAAAAAAGCATCGCCGTGGACGATCACTACGGCTATGAAAACTAAACGTAAATTGGACGCGGGTTGTGGATTCAAGGCTGCCGTTAAGTAGCTAAAACTACAATGAAGAAAAACATTGGTGAAAAAAAACATTAAAATATTAATAAAAAATCCATGACCGCAGCGAGAAAGACGTTTAAGAAATAAACAAATAATAACCAAACGCCTCGATTGATACCTATACCCAAAACTGGAGGTATGCTACAGCTGATACCTATTTTCGCCGGATTGTCGGGATTGGGCTCTTTGACGGGTGGTGCAACCGCCGTAGCGAAGAACTAATAACGATAAAAACTAATTCTATGAATGAATAAAAACTGGTTTTTAAAACGTAAATAATTGCGTTTTTATTTCTATAACGGAATAAATAAATATGTATTTAATAATGTATTTATTTGGATATCATTTTTTTTTTTTACAAATATTTTAATTAACCTGCCATTATTCGCCTTCCTCGCTCGACGGTTTTATGAATTGCGGCCCGTACGGTCAGTCGTTGTAATCAAACCCTTTCTTTTCTTTGAGAAGAGTCCGGAAACTTGGCAATGCCGGCGAATAGTCTGGTGGTGAAAATGGTAAAAAGGTTGGCGGTATATAGCCGCCAATCGTTGGTGGTGATGGTTGCGAATCGAAGTCCTAAAGTAAGTTATTATGTTAATACATAAATATATGAATAATAAGATAGAATGATTAGCTTTACTTACTTTACTCGAAATTGGATTTACATAATCCGTCAAAAGCCGATTTAAAAATGTTAAACCCATCGTTCACGCCTTCCATGCGTTTAAATTTTTTACCACTACCTATTATTTCATCATCGTTATCTCTTTTTATTTCTCTCGGAAAAAAATTAGCGTCTGAATCAGATAGAGCGTGTACTGTATTTTTAACATCAACGCGGTCCAACATTTTGTGGTACTTATCATCACTATTTACGTCTTCTGAACTGCCGGCTCCGGATGTCGATGGGGCTGCATGTTGGACGGGTACAATTATCGATGGTGCGATTTGTATTGAGTCTAATGACATATAAATTATTAAAGAACAAAATATAATAATAATTAAATAATATACTTACTGTGCTCGGTTTTCTGATGAGTGGCGAGATTACTTTTGATCATAAATTCTCTTGTAGATTCAGCACGTGAAAATTTGAGGTTATTATGGTCATTCATATGACGTTTTAAATTATCCTGTCTGGTGAATGAACGAGAACAAACGGTACATGAAAATGTGAGGTTATTGTGGTTATTCAAATGGCGATTTAAATTATCCTGTCTAGTGAATGAACGAGAACAAACGGTACATGAAAATGGGATGTTTTTGTGGTTATTCAAATGACGATTTAAATTATCCTGTCTGGTGAATGAACGAGAGCAAACGGTACATGAAAACGAGAGGTTACTGTGGTTATTCAAATGACGATTTAAATTATCCTGTCTGGTGAACGAACGAGAACAAACGGTACATGCGAACATGTTTTCGAAAAGGCGTGTGAAATCACTTGGTGAACTGAAGGATAGTTGAAACGCAACTAAATATTAATTGGTGAGTTTGTGGTCAGGGGTATATAATTCGATTTCTCACTCCGTACGATAATAATGAAAACCCTGTCTATAAGATCCGACTGTTGACTGTTGGTAATGGTGAATAATAATAATAATCGTTTTATTGCGGATGGGTATTCGGATTTTACATCACGTAATTCGCCTCTTATCGTATTTATGGCCTATATATTTATTCTACAAACGCGCGCGCGTGACAGTTGTATAATACACGAACCATACACGAGTAAAGACGATATTATCGTCGGCCGCGCGGGTAAATTATTATTGGTCTCGGTCACGTAAGGGACACGAGCACCGGACCCATATTCTATACACGTGCGGTATATTATTCTATGATAGCCCGAATGGTATGTAAGAGGTGTACAAAAAAAAAATAAAATAATATTTGACAAATTTTTGTTTTCGTGTATCTATACAGTTAAAAGGAAAAAATTATCCGATGTTTGTGTGTGTATATATAATGTGTTGGTATGTGTGTGTGTGTGTGTGTGTGTGTGTGCATGAGTTTAGATATGGCATACAGATGTCGAGATGTATTGTGACCACGGAGAATATATGTAGGCGAAACTGCGGTTAGTATGATAAACAGTGGTGGTGGTGGAGGGTGCTGAACCCCCGTTTCCCTACTACTCACACTATTTACCGAAAAAAAAATAAAAACATGTAACGTATACACAAAGAGTCGTCGTTATTTCCGGGAAACAGTCCAACAGCTATAAAATGTATCGGCGGCGGTCAAATGATTTCGTCGCGACGAGGACAATTTTTATGAACTATTATTAATCACGTGATAATATATAATATATATAACACCTAACCTACAAATGTGATAATGGGGCATATGCATCACCATCAGTGTACATTCGGCCGTTATATTGAAAATATATTTTCATTTCTTGTGATTATTGTGTACGTTACAATCGGTCGAAATGTAAAATAAACACTCGTAACAAAACAATATAATAACAACCACGAATAATTACGTATGTAAATATTCAGATTATAGTTTTTTTTTTTCGACGACGTATTGTAATACGCGCGGCGTTAGTATCGACGAACCGCATTTCGGAATTGAGAATTTTTACGCGCGAATGTCATTATTGTATCTCTTTCTTTAGTTTTTTGATAACGTCAGCGGATTCGTTTGATCGGTAATGATACAACTATCGACGACGTCGTGTTATAATAATTGATACGACGGGACAACAGATTGCCTACAGTGCAAATTTCGCATCCGCCGAAAATCCTGTAAGTATCCGTACGGGTACGTCACCCCGCGCGTTATAATACGTCAATCGCGGAAAATTCTAATTGATAAATCTAACGCGCGTTTTTTTTTTTTTTTTTACTTACCTATTATTATTATTCCCGAGAATACCGTGACTTTATCGGATTTAGACGCACGGGATATCGTGTGTGCGCTATAATATTATTATTACCCGCATTATATATTATTACGTGTCGCGTAGACGCGCGTATCCATCATCCGCGATGTTCCGACAAAGTCGAACGTATTATAGTAGAGTAACGAGTTTTCGGATATTTTCCCCGCGCCTTTTATAATAATATTATTCGAAGTACATTGTTGGTATACCTATACCCGTGTATACGGCCGCGGCACATAGATACGAATTATTGGATTATATTTCACCGCGAGACACGTGTATAGATGGGTTGATAGGTATACCAGCCGGTATATAACGGTTGTAGTTTATGGTAGTTTGTGTACCGAACGCCCGGTCGGGTTTTGCACGATACACGTTTTCCGCGTATAATCATATTTTCGACGAGAAATATTGTTTGCCTTATAAATTTCCCGAGTTTGTACATTATTTCCGCCGGGTATCGTGTTACTAAAAAAAAAAAAAAAAAAAAAAAAAATATTTTCACGGGGCTTATACGCGTGTACGGGCACTTATTTTTAAATTTAATTTCGCGGTACCGAATACACGTAATGTACCCAATATATTACGGGGGTTTAATGTCGTACGCGCAGCACACATGAATAATATTGCGTAATAACGATATACGTATTTTTTCATCGAACCCTCACCCCCTCCACAACTTTATTCTAGACAAAACAACAAATAATATCATATTAAATAAAGTCATAACCAACAATAATAATGTTGTCGTTTCTATATAGTTACGTTAACGTAAAGCAGCCGCTTTTGCATAATTCTATTTATCGGTGGAATGGTGAAAAAAAAAACAAAAAAAACAAAAAAAATAGCTCGTTTAAATAATACCGGAATGTAGGTTTTTAGATTCTGAGCGTAGCGAGGGATCAATTGGTTTCANTTGCATAATTTTATTTATCGGTGGAATGGTAAAAAAAAAAACAAAAAAAAATAGCTCGTTTACATAATACCGGAATGTAGGTTTTTAGATTCAGAGCGTAGCGAGGGATCAATTGGTTTCACTGTCTTGTTGTCTGCGAACGACATTTCGAACCGAAAAAACTTACTCTGCGAATGTACCTAAACCGAGTGTAGTGCTTTTTCTGAAAGAAAATATTCTCAGGATGGTGAATTATACGGATCATATTTTGATTTTCCTACATATTTTACAAATAATCGGAGAAAAATGTATAAATATTTACGGCGCATGGCAACGTTACGGAATTCATTATGTTTAAATTTTACGCGTGATGTTTTCTACCAGAAATATTGCTTTAATCGAAAAATTCCAAAAGAACAGTTTTGTTGTATTTTCAATCTCGCTGGTGGTAAGTAAGTCGATTTATACGTTTCGGAGTAGTTTTTATAATAGTTGGAAAAATCCGGAAAAAGACAAAAAATTAATAAAACTAAAAAATCTACGTCAAAATAGTCGAAAAATTGAATTATTTTATGTTAAAGATACCAAGTGAATGTATTGGTTTTATAATGATTTTCATTTTTTTTTTTTCAACAACTTTTCCTTTAACAATTTAGCTCCAATGCACGATGAAATCACTTTTTCTGAAAGGAAATCTGAATAGAACGGTCTTAAAAGAGGGTAATTTCTTGATTTTCCCAGGAATTTTTCATAAAAAATGGGATAAACGTAGGAAAAAAAGAAAAAAGGTAAAACACAAATATTTTTGAATAAAATGTTTATAATGCATATTATGTAATTTTTTTACGGTAATATGACATAAATATTATTAAAAAAAACCCATTACTATGTTTCAAAATTCTCATTTATTTTCTAGAGTATATAAATAAAAAGTCATACAAAAACTGTGCCGACGCCGGCACACATTGCGGGCTGCAGTACACCGAACGGTGACACCGACGTCATACCGCATTACAAAATTAAGAACATTATTAAAATAATACTAACAAAATGATTTTTTTTTTTTAATCGTTGTTTTGGGATTTTAATAGATTGAAATTTGCAAATCATTACACGACGGTCGTAAACTATGAAAGAATGATCTGGTAAATTGAATAGATTTAGAATACAAAACGATACTCGTTATCACAGGAAGAAAGTAAGTGATTATTTACACGATAACAAAATACTATGAAATCATTCTTTTTACCGTTTTTTCCAGTCTTTTTCAATTATTAAGAAAACTAAAAAACACACGAAAAAGCGAATTTTATATTAATCAACTATATTCAAAATACAAAAAAAAGGTCTATTGAATGATTTGATTATAGCTATATTTATTGTAGAAAACAGAAACTTTAAAATATAATTTTGTTTACGAGCGACAAAAAATGAAGGGTCGGCAAGGACAGCCGAGCAGTTCGAAAATAATTGTAGGTACACGGGTACTAGGGACACATACGGTAAGACGTATTTATCACCACTCGGTGTNGCATGTTATTTAATTTAATGCATAGTATGGCATACATATTGTTGACGAAGAATCTCATCTGTTGAACTACGCTCAGAATTGTTTTTCTTTAGCAATGGTTTGACGCTGCTTATTAATATAAACAACGCGGGCGGCAGTACACCGAACGGTTGGAACGACGTCATACCACATGCGACCCTGGTACACCGAAAATAATTATTCGGCCTGCTCGGCTATCCTTACCGACTCTTCATTTTTTCATTTTTCCACTCGTAGTCAAAAATAATTCTTACGGTCTCTGTTTTCTAAAATATACATCAAATTAAAACACGTAGAAGACCTTTTTTGTTGTATTTTGAATCTAGTCGCTTTTCGATATGAAGGCAAGTTTTCTTAATAATTAAAAACGACTGAAAAAACGTAAATAGAACGATTTGACGCCTCGGCGGAGGTCATATAAAAAAGTTTTCTATTTAGGTACACTTTTTATCTCGAAAAGTATGAAAATTTTGCGAATTTTGATATCTAGAACATTCATGAAACAAACAGCTCTAAAATTTGAAATTTGTGTTTTTTTTTGTTACACTTAATTCTGAGTGTAAATCTACTAGCTATTTTTGATTTTCAGTTGACCTATAATAAAAAAATCCATAAATAGATGTAATAGTAGTTTAAATGAAATGAAGTTTTGAATTTTTTTATTTCTGACGAAAAAATTGATATCGATAATGTTAGTTTGTGTTCGAGAATAAAGACTCTAGAAACGGTGATTTGTAATATTGCGTGTGACGTCACATATTCGTACGCCTCGGCCGCAGCGGTACGGCGGTACGCTGGGTGGTGTGCTAATAATGCACCACTACTCCCCTGCAAGCTAAACTAAAAAGTGGACTATCACGTCACGGTATGTTCTAGAATGTTCTGGAAAACAATATTCGCCAAATGTTAATATTATTAGAGATAATGATTGTATCTAAATGAATAAAACCTAGTACACGGTCTGGTATACGACCGCCACCGATGCGTACGAATCTGTGACGTTTTTTCCCAGTTTTTTTCATTTATTTGGAAAACAATACGGCATATCAAAAAGTGACATTTTGATTAACCAACTAGATTCAAAATACAACGAAAAAGGTCTTTTGCGTGTGTTGA